TATAATTTAAAAAAATATTTAATTTAATAATACTACCTTTTTTAAAATTATCTAAAGTCCTATCTTAAATAGCTTTAATTTAGATCATATTTGGATTTTGGCCAATCTGACCTAATTTGCTAAAAACTAGAAATTTATATTTTTCTAAATATCTCAAGATCTAGTAACCAGAATTAAATAAACTTTTTTTAAAAAAATAGGCCTTACTAAAAACTTTTATTTAAAAATATTTATTCAAATTAAACTACTAGTTGCTAGGATATTTACAAAAAACTGTTTTTTTTTTATTCTCTAAATTTAGAGGTTTTGCTAAAAAGTTCATATATGTTCTATATTCTAGATATCCAGGGTTCTATTTATAATATATAATAAAATTATAAAAGTATATTAATATTAGTTGCTGCATAATTTTGTACTAATTTATGTATATTTAAATTATATTTTTTAGATATAATTTTTCAAAAAATAATATAATCTAAAGAAAGTATAAAAGTTAATTTATTTCAAAATAATAATATAATATTAATTGATGATTTGCCACTCAACAGATGCATAATCATAGTATAACATGACACGGATCACTATATAAATCCAATATAGGGTAAATGTGAAAATTTTCTAACATTCATTCAAAGAAAACTTTTTTTTATACTAATTGAAAGCTGTAGAGCACATCATTACAGTTGTAATAGTGGTTATATAATCCAAATTGGCCCAGCAGATGCTGAGATATCTTTAGAAAACATGTCAACAACTATATAAAATTCTTATATAAACAATACATTGTTTATATAAAGATTTTATATAGTCATTGATGCATTTTTTAAAGATATCTCATAATTTACTGTGCCGATTTGGATGATTTAACACCATTAGAACCGCAATGATATGCTCTACAACTTTCAATTAATTGACTTTGTTGATTAACTTAGTATGAAAAAAGTTTTCCTTGAATGAATGTTAGACATTTTCTACATTTACCCTATATTGGATTTACATAGCAATTTGTATCATGTTATACTACAGTCAGAAAATATACTATAAATGTACAGTGCTGATTATACTATTTATAGTAATAAATGCTGATCTAATGATTCCAGAAATTTCTTTATGTTAATTCAAGAATGATCACTAACTAATCAAATCAACTGAATAGAAAAAAATTTATTATTATGCAAACTAGAATATTCTAAATTTTATTTACTTTTTAATGGTTTATTTATTTTTTTAACGAGAATTAACTAGAGTGGATTATTGTAGATTATTTAAACTACATGTTTTTTACTATCTATTAATGCTTTTATTTAGAAGTTTTAAATAATAAATAAAATGTATAAAAATTTTTTTAAAACTGCTGCAAGAAGTTATACAAAAGCTAATCAAATCTGTATAGATTATTCTAGAACCAGATTTTCTAATTTGCCCTTATTTGCTATATTCCCTGACTATACTATAATCATGCATCTGTTGAGTGGTGGATTATCAATCAAATATAAAATAACAATATAAGTTATTTGTTTTGGTTATAGTTAATCCTCTCTAAGTGCATATTGTTGGGACCAAACTTTTGGTGGTATGCATTAAAAGAACAAATAAAAAAAATATATTTTAGAGTTTTGTATATATTTTGGCCAGAAAATTGATATGTATTTAAAGAGGTTATGTATTTAGGGAGAATACATTTAGGGAGATCTAACTGTATTTCAAAATAATTATATTTTAAATCTAAGCTAATTAAAAATAGTATTAAATTAGATTATTTCTAAATTAGAAAAATGATTAAATACAATTATAATATTCTATATAACAATATTTATTTTAATATTTTAATTTTTTAGATGAGACAACATAATTGGTTAGTAAGTTATAAGTTATTTTTTATTATTAGTTAAAAAAAAAATCAATATTTTAACAAATTTTTCACTATGTTCTTTGCTTGCTCTTTGATAATTTGTGACTATCAATTCATTTGACTATTAAGAAATCTAACAGAAAAAATACAAAAATAAATTAATAAGATAAATCAGTATGTAAATATCAATAAAAGCAGTTATAAAAATAAAAAAATACTTTTAATTTAAATTATTTTGATATTTTTTTTATATCAACTTTTGGTTTCTAGTATTTGGCTACATTTACAAGAGCTAAAGCTCTACTAGACTCTAGCATCTATTATTTACAAAAAATAGTAAGAGTAAAAATTTCCTTTTTAAGTTTTGTGAGAAAATTTTTGCTGCCAACCCTGCAAAATAGCAGTACAAATTATAGAATTTGGTTAGTGCTTTTTCTTTATATAGAAAAAATAATTATACTATACAAAGAAAATTATATAGCAGCTTCAAATATAGCAATTATAGTCAAGCCAAATTTACAAAGTACTAATAAATAAAAATAATAAGCAAAAAAATTTACTTTTATAGATTAAGAGGAAATTTTGGCTGCTGATTATATGCACAAAAGTAGTACAAAATATAATAAATAGTAAAAAAGAATATACTACATAAATATAAATAGCATGAAAAATTAATTACACTTAGTATTCTGAAAAGGTCAATTTAGTTCAGATAATCTAAATCAATAAATATTTAAATGCTTTTTTTTTATTTAAATCAAATGCAGCTTGAATCAATGAATATTATAAATAATTTTTTCATTTTTAGTTCTCTTTTCTTATTTTTTTATTCAAAATCAAACAAACCTTTTTGTTAATAATATCATCAACTAAATCTATTCAATTTGAGCCTAATCCTACCACTTTTAAAAGTAGACAATATTGTAGACTTTTTCTAAAGGCTTACTGTATTGGTGCATAATATTGTGTATCTGCAAGTTATTTTAAAATGTGCATGCACAGTAATTCGAATCATTTTGACAAACTTGTATTATAAAAGAAAGCCCTACTTTTAATAATGAACTTAGCCTAAAAAATTTGACCAAAATATGTAATATGGCACATTTAAGAGACATGTTATTTTGAGATGCACATGGGCATTATTTTGAGTTAAAACCCAATTTTCAAAAAAATGTGAGTTTCAAAATAATGCTTATGTGCAGTATTATATGCCAATACAGCACTTATAGAAATCAGAACATCTACAAGCATTAACTCATCATGAATTCTCATGTTGTCTAGTCCAAATGTTTGGTTCACAGAATTGGTGATTCTTATATAACAAACTTTTGATATTATATTGAGAAACATTATTTTGATCTTAATCTACAAAAGTTAGAAAATCAAGTTAAATAAGATAATATTATTGAATTTATACAAGAAATTTTCTTTAGTGTTTAATAGATAGATAGTTTTAGCAATCAACCATTTACAACTTCTGAAAATGAATCTTTCAACAAATAATAAAGTTTTTAAATCCAAATATAATTAAGAGTTGTAATTCTTTGTATAAACTACAATATTAAAGAGTTTATCAAGAAATTGTAAATTATTTTTTTAGTTAAAAATTTCTTTAAAATTAGTTATTTTTGGCTTATAAGCTATTTAAAATTTTTGTCTTATAATATAAATACAAATATTGCAAAAATATAATTTTTATTTTCAAATTAAATTTTATTTAAATATTTTAAATAATTAAAAAAAATAGATTAGAGATATATTTATAGTAATTATGCAGACAAATTTGTCTACAAATTTTTGCTAATTAAAAGATAATTATTTCAATATTTCATTTTTTGAGTAATGTTATAATACAACTGTTACAGATTAATAATTAATATATATAAAAATTTAAACTATCACAAAGATAAAAGTAAGTAAAAATTATATCAAAATTATAATAATTATTAAATTTTTGTTTATACTTGTAAATTTTAAATACTGCTAACTAACACAATATATTATATTTATACACTATCCAAATTTTAAAAACAAATTAATTCTTACAAAAATATCTATAAAAATAAAATATTTTAAGCTTTTTTTTAATTTTTTTTTCTTAATAAACAAAAAAAATTAATAAAAAATAAAAATAATAAAATAAACTTACACTAACAATGCTAGATAATATTACTGTTTTATACTATATTAATAACTATTGATATACATTATCAAAATTTTTCAAATTGTTAAAGCTTTAGAAATTATAAATTTTCAAAGCTTGAAGTTGCTCCAAAAGATTTTTTAAAAGAATTTTATAACTATAATTCTTCTAAAGAATTTATTCATTCTAAATTTAAAAAAGAAAATATTATTTTTATAACAGGTAAAATTTGACAATTTTAAAATATAATTAAAATCTTTTTTTATATATTATTAAAATAAAAAGAAAACTTATCTGAAATAATAAATATATATATATATTGAATATGAAATATAAATAATAATTAGATTATTTTAAATAATTTTGTAAAACTTAACATAAATCCAAGCTATATTTCTGAATTTTTAGTCTTAATAAATATAACTATAAAATATGAAACTCTATAGTAATTAAAGATACTATTATAGTTGTCATATTTACTAACTATATAGATTATAATTCATTTATTATTAAAATAAACTATTATTATTTGACCTCTATATTACACTTAATATAAATAACTTCTACAATAAAATACAAATTTGTTTTTATTATTAGCAATAAATTTTTTTTATATAATAATAATAATAAGGATAAATTTATTTGTTGCTCCCTGTTACATGACATTTTTGTCACGGGTCACATAACAATAATCGGCCAATTAAAACATAAGTATATTTAAATTTTATTATATGAATTTTAATTAATTAAATATTTTTTACATATTTATCCTAATCACCTCCTAACTCTAACCACTAACTAACTAACCCTACTAACCCTAACTGCTAACTAACCAACCCTACTAACCCTAACCTCTAACTAACTAACCCTACCTAACCCTAACCATTAACTAATCTCAACTATCAAAATATCGTTGCATAACAAATGATCGTAACCCACCAACGTGACACATAGTGAAACTAATAACGATTCGTAAAACTACGGCTTTACCAAAAAAAAACTACTCTAAAGCTAAATAAAGTGAAATCTAGCACGTGCTGGAAATAACACACAGATTACGGAACCATGACTGTAACAAAATGACACCAAAGAAGACAAAATCGTACCAATGGAGGCTTTAACACTGATGACACCGAAGCAACGGAATCACAAACAAAAACTTCGAAGAAACAATAAGCTAGAAGAGACAATATAAGTATGACATCTAGAGAACAAATAACACAATATCAAACCCATTAACAAATGCGAAATCACATCAATAGCAAAAGTCAAACCTCATTATCGAACGTGAAATCACACCAATAGCGATACCGGCAACAACGCACCAGTAACGATGACACCAGAAAAGATGACTAACAACAACGGTTTCAGAGAATACGACTAACAATGAAGACTCAATACATAAAAAAAGAGAGGTTAGTTTAACGTGTATACACAAGAAAAGAAAGAGACAAAATTCCACTCACGAATGTGGCAATATTGCAACATCACCGTTGATACCGAAACAACAGAATCACAAATGAAAACTTCAAAACAATAAGCTGAAAGAGACAACATAGACACGACGCCTAGAGAAGCAAATGACACAACATCAAAAGATTAAAACCTCATTAACAAACACAAAATCACACTAATAGCAAAACTCAAACCTCATTATCAAACGCGAAATCACACCAATAGCGACACCGGCAACAATGTATCAATAATGATGGCTCCGGAAAAGACAACTAACAATGGCGGTTCCAGAGAATACGACTAACAAACGAAGACTTAATATCTAAAAAAAAAAGAGAGGTTAGTTCAACATGTACACATGAGAAAATAAAGACAACCATGAATGTGGCAACATTGCAGCACCAGCAATAGCGACACCAACAACGACAGCTCCAACAACAACGAACAGTAAAGAAACGACAACTCCAACAATGTGACTCGTTACTTATGAACCTAAAAGAAAAAAAAAAGATTAGTATAACACGTACATAGAATACATAAAAAAAAAAAAAAAAGAAAGAAACAATGATCGGCATGAATGATTATTGTTTATATATTGCACATTACCCATGACAAAAAATCATGTTACAGGGGGCAACATAAACATTTATTCTAATAATAATTATATATATATCAAAAACATGTCTTTTTCAAACTAACAAAAATTATTGTTAAACTCTGTAAATATTCTATAGAAAACTAAAATATTAAGCAAAGCAATAAAATCCCAAAGCATTACTAAAAAATAGCTATAAGCTATAATTATATCCAATAATTTAATAATTTATTAGTATTATTATTTGACTTTCTTATTATACATTATTTAACTATTTTGACTAGGCAGTGATTACAAAACTGCAATATTTTTTTAATCTATCTATATATTTATATATTATAGTTATAAAAAAAACAAGATTATTTTTAAAAAACAACAAATTTTTAACAAATTTTATATATTTGTAAAAAAAAAGCTTCTAGTTAGTAATAGTAGTATTATATTTAAACTAAGTAAAATTGCAAAGGTGAATATTTTTATTACACTTTATATCAATTACTATGTTGGGCTAGCTAAAAATGCAAAAAACATTTTGAGAGTTTGTTTTAGCTAAATAGTTAATATTAAAAAGCCTATAATAAGCATTTATTATTTGTGTAATAAAATATGCTATTGTTTATTCTTTTACTTTTTATTTATTTATTTTAAATAAATAAAAGCACTCAATACAATAGCAGTATAATGAACTTAATAGAAAAAAAAAGATACAACAATTTTTTTTTATAATATAAGCTTATTGGATATCAAAAGGATATTTTGTTAGAATCAAGAAAGTTCAAAAGTTTAAATAAATAATTGCTAAAAGACTATTAAAAGCTTTTGGCTTTTTAGTTTCTAATGTTAAATTTTTTCTAGTGGTAATTAATAATAAAATTTTTAAAATTAGGTATGACAGCTAGTGTAGAACTCCTAGCATAGCACTAATGCTTCGGGCGTACATATATACTTTGATTCATTATCAGTTATTGGGTATGCATCTCTTAAAAAATGATTTGCATGAATAGAGTGGCAGTCAGCATATGAAATTTTGATATCATGTTCACTCTATTCAACAACAGTCTAATTAATTGGTTGTATGCTTATAAACTATTTATTAGATTTTGACTTCTTCGGATCTTATCAAAAAAATATGGATTCAACACATACATTAGTTTCTTCAATTTTTTTAGAGACACATTCAGAAATAAATTCATTAGCAAAAGAATTTCATTAGCTTAAAATGTTCTATCAGCCAAATAATGATCATGATTTAGAACTAAAGGAAACATTAGATAAAAAAGAATCTTTTCTTGAAAATATAGAATATAACAATATACTAGAAATACAAGAATCTGATAATCAAATTCTTACACCTTTACAAATTGAAAATTTTCAAAAAATATTTGCTCAATATACTATCAAAGAAAGTGATGATGAACAAGAGACTGACGAGAAAATGACAGTTTTTTTAGATCAGCAGGAAAAAGAAGCTTTTTTTGTTAAACTTTGTACATTAGTTTGCTGTAAAACTAGAATGTGTTTAACTAAAATTGATCATGAATTTGCATTTCAAATCTTTGATAGTATTCGAAAATTATCAAAAACAGAACATAATATGTTTTTTTTTAGGAATACTTTATACAATAACTCGGTCTAAATATACTACTTCGCATGGTAAAGAAAAACAATACTTAACTACTAAATATACTTTTAATAATAATGAAATTTGCAAAATAGCTTTTCAAACTATATATTCATTATCAGAAAAAAAATAGAGAAATATTCATAACCATTACCGGGACAATAGTATTAAACCAATTGTACACGCACTTGCGGGAAGAAAATCCAATCGCGCTTTACCATTTGCAGCTATTTTAAATGTTCTTACATTTATAGGTAATTATTCAAATTGTTATGGATTGCCATCACCGGGTAAATTGATATAGCAATATTAGTTATACTAACCTTTTTTTAAAGAATAATAAATGAATAAAAGTTGGCTGATATTTCCACACCCATGAAGATTACACTTTTTTAAAAAATATTAATTGAAAGTATCTTAGCAATTACCCATAAATTTCAGTGAATTTTTTTTTATTTGAATTCTATAAATCAACAGAATTCAAATAAAAAAAAGTATATCGAATTTCATAGAACTGTTGTCAAATCAATTTTTAAAAAAATTTTAAACATTTATCAAAATATAAGCCACAGCAAAATGTCCCTTATTTTGATCATAGATTTCTTGACAATTACTTAATGAAATTCGATGTACTTTTTTTATTTAATTCCATAAATTCATAGAATTCAAAAGTATATCAAATTTCATAGATTAGTTATCAAGATATCTTTAATCAAAGTTCTAAAAAAATTTTAATGTCTATTAAAATATTAGCCATGGCAAAATGTCTTTTGACTTTGATCTAAAATATCTTGACAACCAACTAATGAAATTCAATATACTTTTTTTATTTAAATTTTGTAGATTCATAGAATTCAAATAAAAAGAAATTTATTAAAATTTATTGAGTAACCGTTAAGATGCCTTCGATCAAAGGTTTAAAAAAGAGTGATAGGTATAGAAATATCAAATGGGATGTAGAAATATTAGATAACATAGTGATGGCAGAAAAAATTCGCGATTAGATAATTTTTAATCGTTTTGAATCTCACAATACAACCAGAATATATCAACATACAAAAATTTATGCAATTTAGACAGTACTGTATTAGATTTGCAAAAAGGTATGACCTTTGCAGATTATGATTGCACAAGAAATTGGCTGATTTTATGATTCTTAGAGAATTTTAAGATTTAAAAAAAAATATATAGACAGTATTAATTGAAAATTATGATCAATAGGGTATTAAAATCTTTCCGCTATCATCATAACGAAATTACAGGGTCACACCTTTTTGCAAGCCGCCATAATGTAAGTTTATTGATCATTGATTGGGTCACAATCATCTGATCACGAATTTTTTCTGCCACCATGTTACTTAGAGATATTAGCTTCTTAAGGGTTTGAAATTGTTTTAACACATAGCAAATATATATATTTTTTTAATTAATAAATATGCATAAATAAAAATTTATTAGGCTGTCATTTTTCTGAAGATACTATGGCTATTACATTTCTTCCTGCAAGTGAAAGCTATATTGGACTCTACCATATCTATCAATCAAGTTTAGATAAAACTTCAGATTTTCATATTAGTCGATGGTCTTTTGTACGAATTTGAAAAAAGTATATTCCAGAAATTCGCTTTTTATCACCTCAAAGCGACCTATGTATGCTATGTAAAAACATGCGATTTAATGCTCAATTTTGGACATAAAGTGAACGAGATCAAAACGTTTAACAATAGAATGATCATATCAATTGGGCAAATCAAGAACTTGAGTATTATAAGTAAGAAAATCTATAATTAGAATTAATTACTGTATTCTAAAATATATAATAATTTTTGATTCCCAGAGCCGTCCTAGTTAGAGATGTATCTCTTGCATAATCAGCTTAGCATATACGACTTCATTTTGCAAGTTCACGAGTATCATGTAATAAGAATTCATTTTATAAAATTTTCTTAATCAAATGGTTTGTTTTATACAAGGTTACAAATGCAATAGTTTTGTCATTTTGTGTGAGGTACATCTCTAGTCCTAGTATTGGTTATAAAAAAACACAGTTTATATTATAATTAAAGCTCAAAAGTACAGTAACAATAAAGAGCTATTTTAGTATTAGAAAATACAGCTAATACGGCAGATAAGTTATAAAAGTATGATCAAAGATATTTTATTTTTGCTATTAAATGCTTAATAAAAAATTATTATAAGTACTAAGATCGAGACGATTCTAAGCTTTAATTATGAGCAATACTAGACGGGCTAGATAGTTAGCATAAAATAATACCTGGGAAAAGACTTCTTAACAAGCCTAATCTTAATAGTTTTATTTTTTATATAACAATTAATTTATTAAAATTTTAGGTGATGTATACTTAATACAAAACAACAATTAGGATTTTTTAATAATAAATCTATGCTCTCATGTTCAGGTGTACCAAATTCTTTAGAATTCGAAAATCATATTTTGTGGGATTTTGCCGAAGCTGTATATCTTCCATATTCTTCCTAACAAGAAGTAATTATTATATTAAATCTTAATTAAATTTGTCAAATCAGTTAAACAATATTGACAAAAGTCAGCAGTACTTACCACATAGTGCTGTATATAATACTCTCGGTCTTGTTTAAAAATGCCAAGATAAATTATCGCGGTTTTCAAAATTGTTGAAAATGGCAAATACTTTTTTTTTGTCATACACTCGCATGTTAATTGCCTGACTTTATGTAATTGTTCAGAACTAGTACTCCGCAAAAGCAAATCAAACTTTGAGTTTGAATCAAATATTTGAAATTATTTGACTAAATTTTTAAGAAATTTGATCAAATAATTTCAAATATTTGATTCAAATTCTAAGTTTGATTTGATTTTGTGAAGTTCTATTCAGAACAATTACATAAAATAGGGCAATTAACATGCTAAGATAATCGAGTGTATGAGTGTACGCCAAAAAAAAAAAATTATTTAAAATTATTTGCCCTGATAAATACACTTCAGCTCTCTTCACCGACGCTCCTTTCGTAGACACGCCACTTCACCGAAATCGTCTCACTGACATGTTTAATTCATAGACATTTAATTCACCGACAATCAAATCCCCGACATGCTCATTTTACCGACAT